CGCCTTGGCTGCATTTTTAGGTAAACAGCTGCAAAAAACGTTGTTGTTTGCATAAAGTTACCTTTTTGAAGAAGTAACTATATAATTAATTGCCCAACATTGGTCTTTATATACTGTATTTTGCAGACAGAGAGTTACAGACTCTCTCCCAGACCACAGACTCATAATACAAGTCAGAGCTTTATAAAAAAAGAAAGAAAGAAAAAGAAAGTTGTGTTTTCAAAATTCGAGTTCAAGTGATTTTTACTTCCAATAGTGTTAACATACTACACAGGTCATGAACAAGTTTTTTTTGTTTGTTTGTTTTTTTATTTTCATTGTAAGTGGGCTAAAATAGTTAATTAAAAGTAGTCTAACATAAATGCTGTAATTTTATTATTTTAATAAACATGTAACTTGCATGGATTCGATGCTGGCGTGACCACAGTGGACACGTCTGCTGTCGCTCACAGTGGTCCAAGGGACGCTCAGGGAGTTTGTGCGTTCGCTCAGACACATGAAAAATTAGAGGGAACATTGCTCACCGTTGAATAAGTTAATAACTATTTTCTGGAAAATAGCAGAACCTTTATTTTTTGATGTAGGGTGGTGTAATATACGATGCAGCAACTACTTCCATTGTAGTTAGGTGAAATTATTTTGGTAAACCTCCATTTTTATTAGAATTTGTGTTTTGGGCAGAAAGGTCTTGGTGTTGGTAGCCAGGGATTGGTCCACCAGGGCCTCCACTCCTAGCCCCCACCTGGTACACAATGCATCCAACCCCTACAGTGCCTAATGCGGGTGGTGGGCCTCCAGGAGGATGGACCCAAGTCCCTTTTTTGGGCTGTGTCCAGCCAGGGCCCATGGACTAAGGCCCAGCCACCAGACGCTCGCCATCAGGCACGCTCCAGGGCAGGGCCTCAGTAAGCCTATCCTGGGCAGGGTGAACTGTTCCCTTGATGTTCTACTCATAGGGGTCCCTCACCCATGATGAGTTTGCCATAGGAGGCCCTACCAGCGGACAAAAGCCCCGACGACTACATAGCCCCTGGGATCCCTGGGACACACAAACCCCTCCACCACGATAAGGTAGCGATTTGCAATTTTCCTGGGCGCCTTCTGGGTAAGGTGTTCTGGGCATGTCCCACCGGGAGGAGGGTCCGGGTCAGATCCAGGACATGCCGGAGAGATTGTATTTGTCAGCTGGCCTGGAAACGCCTTGGTGTTCACCCGGACAAGCTGGAAGTGGTGGCCAGGGAGAAAGTGTTATGGGCTGTTAAGGCTGCTGCCCTCGCAGCCTGGCCCCAGAAATGTGGAAGAAGATGGATGGCAGAAAGGTTTTGGAAATGTATCAATCCAATAATAATAATAATAATAAAAAAGACATTACTAAGTCTCGTGATTACTTATCCAGGAAAACTCGCACTGCTTTTTGTTAAAGGACACCGTCTGTCCACCACAGGAGGAGCAGAAAAGACAACTCTTCAGTCTTTTATTTGCAGTGGAAAATAGGTTTCAGTATTTTATTGAAAGTAAGCAATAAATAATACTGTGATAAAAATAGTTTATAAGTACTCAGACTGTACATCATTGTTACAAGATCAGAAGATTCATCAGGAAGAGCAGGAATAAAAACAGCAACATGATTTGCATTGTGCATAAATGGCTAAATCACAAACAAAAAAACATTTCTAATGTCAGCTTCAACTACATGTAGAGTGAAAAGAAAAGTCTCCGGTTCCGACTCATTTGCCACAAAGGCTTATGCTGGAACCCGTGTTGTGAGTGTAGACGGAAAAACATAAGTAGCACTGCAACATTCAGACGTAGCTCTGGAAGCATTACTGACGCCACAAAACACGAATGAGTAATAATAAATAAGAAGAGACGACAGCGAGGAGTTAAACAGTAAGGCTTGATATAAAATCTTTGTACAGAGTGTTTTTAAAAAAGGGCTGCTGGTGGACTGCACCACCATCAGGGGTTTCTGGTGACAGTGGGGATCGACTGAGGCCTCAGTGAAGTTGGTCCGTTGAAGGAGTTTCCACACTTTGGAGTCATCCACACATTTGTTTAAAGTTCTTCTGCACGAGTGAGCATTTCTCCAGAGGTGAGGAAGATTTCGTTAAAGGGATAAATTGGGTGGCAAGCGTGCATATAAGCGGAGTGGATTCTGCATGCAAGGTAAACTGCAGAGAACCTTGAAATCTGTTTTTTTTTAACTTGCATCCAAATGTAGCCCTCTGTAGTTTTTATTCTTGCTACAATTATATGGCTTTAATTCTTTAAGAGTTTCGTTTTGGTAT